AGATATGACGGCTGATAGAGATGTATGGAAGAGCAGCACATACTGTGCCGACCCTCCATAAGGGATAAGGGCAAGTGGATGATGAATGATATTTAAACGAGGTAGTGAATTTTTTCACCGGTACTTTCTCTGATTGGTACTACTGTTCGTATTAAAATATTAAATACATAGTTGAACACATCATAAATGGAATGGTAGGGGAAAGATCACTTTTCCTGTACATCCTTTACTCTGTCCTTTAAAGAACATTTACAACTTTCTATTTAGACTATGGGCAGCGATTATTTTTTTAATCCGTTAGCCATTTACATGAATTTGGATAGCTACAAAGGTAGAGGAAGACCGAAGAAAGTATGTATGGATTGTGTGAAAGAGGATATGCTTAAGAAAGGAGTGGATTCAGACATGACGGCTGATAGAGATGTATGGAGCAGCACATACTGTGCCAACCCTCCGTAAGGGATAAGGGCAAGTGGATGCCGTTTTCATGTTTGCAGCTGTTTATGTTTTTAATTTTTGTATTCAAGTCGCGGTATGCATTACGAAAACGTGAGTATTCTGATCAACGCGATCGCGGACATAATCGGCGAGATGAGGTTCTGTTGGCGAGATGACCGCGGGGTTATCTGCACTCAGGAAGGCGTGTTCAGGGTTAACTGTATAGATTGCCTTGACAGGACCAATGTGGTACAAGTAAGTGCCGAGTTAATACTTTGACTAGATTTCACTAATTTATGTTAAAAAGTCTAAGGGCCTGTCCCACTATTTTTGTAAATTGTCAGTTAATCTAACGTATAAAACGTGATGGAAATATCGGATTTTGGTATTCTGACAGTGACGTCACTTTTAAGCTATCTGAGTTTTATCAGCCAGTGGTGGGACAGGGCCTAAATCTGTAGTAGATCAGACAATGATAAGTATGGTAAGGTACACAATGAATCTAAGATCGCCGCAATTACTAAATGGCGGATACTTCTTGACTTATACGGTTTTTTGAACAACCATCAGGTAACAAATGAAAGGACTTGTCGAGTTAAATACTACACTATGAAAAATCCAAGATAGCTGTCATTTTGACTTTTAAAAAATTAGGAATTGGATATTCATTCAATACTAGCTTTCGCCCGCGACTCCGTGTGCGCGGAATTAAAAAGAAATCAAAAGTAGTAGCGTATATGTTCTTCCAAGCTATCCTCTACATCTATACTAAATTTCATGGAGATCCGTTCAGCCGTTTAGGCTACAAACTAACAAACATCCATCCATCTAAACTTTTGCATTTATAAGCATACTTTCATACTAATATTATAAATGCGAAAGTTTAGATGGATGTTACAGTTTGTAATCTAAACGGCTGAACGGATCTGGATAAAATTTGATACAGATGTAGTACATAAACTAGAACAACACATAGGCTACATACTTTTTTTTATTCCACGCGGACGGAGTCGCGGGCAACAACTAGTATTAGTGAACTAACACGTGTAACTGTAGACGGCGATAGCTAAATACGTATTGGAGCTGCAACTGTGCCGGCTGGGGCTGGGCGCGCCGGGCTGCGGCCTGCCCGCGCCGCTGCGCCACGCCTTCCTCACCATGTGGGCCGACAACGGAGATGTCGTCTCCAGACAGTACGCCGGCACCAAAGCCCTTAAGGTATACACCTCTCTTTCACTCATTAACACTCCCCTATATCTCTCTCTACATCTCTGAACCATGTCATAAGTACAGTCGGGAAAACTGGCGGTGTTCCAACTTAAAAGTCAAACGATTGTAGTTTGAACATTATTGAACCGAGACGCGGAATAAAAACCAATACAACGCAGCTTATAAATATGCGAAAATAATCGGTTAGTTACACACTGATAGTTTTTTTTATTATCCCTTCGTTTGCACTCGCTACTATCTAATTAGTTATTTGTAGGAAGTGGCGGATATATCTCGTTGCGATGAATAAAGCAATTTATGCTTAAGTTGAACACCGCGTATTTCCGCGATTGTACCTATATACATTTCTATCAGCCATCATGCTCTTTGTTACTCAACACGTATATTTTTTGTACAATCCATACTTTGTTCAGTCTTCCTCTATAGAGACTGTTTTTTTTTTAATTGTACAAGTTAATTGATCGCTAGTTATATGTACTCCATAGAAACAACAGTTTTCTATGTTTTTCTACTGAAATAGTTCGTAAGAAAATAGTAATAACCAATATTAATTTCCTTACAGGGTGATTATACACGCACTGGAGAGAGGAAATTCACTGGAATGATGAAAGATGGCGTTGCATCCGCTAACAGGTAACGCTATAATCTATTTTAAGGGTCTGTCCCAGAATTTTTGTAAATTGTCAGATAACAATCCAACGCATAAAATATGTGATGAAAATATCGCAATTTGGTACTCTATCTAACAGTGACGTAACTTTTAAGCCGTATGAGCCTCTATCAGTCAGTGGTGGGACAGGCCTTAAACATACAAAAATAATCCAAAGAAAAGAAATATCAAAATGGCCGTTTCCCGCCAGATTTCTCATCCGCCATTTTAATGACGCAATCACACAATGCGCCATAGACATCGCTCTCGGACAACCGATCGATGAATCGACCATAGACGAACTTAGTCTATGGCACGATGTTAAGACCGCCTCAATGATGGTACTAGAGAACTTGGAACCGAACACACCCAAATTCGGAATGATGCCGTCGTATTTCGGTCATCCAATGAGAAGTGAGCTCGCATCCGCTCAGGTTACATATGGCGTGGGGAGGTCAGTTTATACTGGACGCTTCTTGCTAGCGTGTAGCCAATGCATATTGTTGTCTTTGTTTTTCAAAGAGAGTGAAAGGGATAGCAATATATGTCCAAAATCAGTTGAAACAATTCTCACTAATCACTTTGTCGCTAATTTTAGAACTTTATTATCTTAGAAATACGATTCAGCTTGTTTTATAAAAAGGCAGGAAGTAAAATTACAATAGTTTTTATTTAAAATAGTGCTAATTAAAATAGATGAAAGCTTTGCCAACGCTTTTTTTCTCTTTAGCCAAATTACTGGTTAAGTAAATTATGGCTTGCCAATATTTGTTAAATAAATAAATGTGGTATACACAAAATAAAGTAAAATTAATAGTTATTTTGCCTATATAGCTTATGTAATACATTAAACAAAAAGCATAAGTTAGTAAATTTTACTTAAATATAACTCCTAATTATATTATGGCGTATTATAAGCTATGGCAATAAGTTTTTTTCGAGTATATCGAATTATCTTCAAGAAGATATTTCATTTCTTTTTCAATGTTTGAAACTCATATTTTAGCCAGGTATCTTCAAAGTGATAGATTATAGTTTCTAATTTAATTTAATTGGATTAATTCTTCTCATAAATGGTGTTTTATTAAATACTTAAAATCGATTTTTCTAGATATATATTCAGTGGTTTTTGCATTATTTTAATATGCAATATCTACAACAGAACTATTATATCTTTATATTTCACGGAAAGCACTAAAGATATAACTAGTAGTATAACTACCTTAGCAGTTTTTTTATATTCCTATAAACTGACGAATTAAAAAGCATACGCACCTAATAAAAATCACTGTCATGACATGACAAACCTTGGCTCCTTGATGTTGGTAGCACCTTATGGTCTCTTTCCCACATTAGGGTTTTTATCCAAAAATATTTGCCCCTAAGTTTGATGGCGTGAAAATGTATAGCCTAGAGCGTGACGTAAGTGTAGGGCTTTTTATTAAAGAAAGAATTATTCAAAAATATACTGTAATTGCTGACATCTTATGCAAGAAAGAAGTGTGTGTTTACGCTTTATTATAATAGTATAGATAAAATAACTGTGCACAGACTAAAAAACCTTCAAGAATACAGAATACATCAAAATAGTTAAAAAGCTACCAATACATGTTAACCTTTTGACAGCTGGGGTGTAATTTCAGGTATTATCTATCTACGTTCAAGGACGCGCTGCGGCAGGTGGCTATCGACGTGATGACGGGCGAGTCCCGCAGCATCCCGGAGCAGCTGATAGTGCCGGAGTGCAGCCGCTGTACCAACGTCAAGGTGCTGATGCTTAACGTGCGTGCTTAATTTACTTTGTTTGCATATGTGACTACTTAAAGGTTTAGGGGTCGGTAAATAATGAAAATTATTTTTTCGTGCTTGAATATGCAATTGTTTGCAATCCTTTTTGACCGACTACCCAAAAGGAGGTACCCAATACGTCTGTGTTTTTACTTTTTTTTGTGTTACCGCTGGCTGTGGTGGACTGATTTTGAAAAATTTTTTTATGTGATGATGGGTCCCATTTTTACAACTATTTCTAAGTATTGCTATTTATTTTTACCCCTTGATCAAAAGGGAATTGGAGATGCTTGTTTTTTTTGCAATATTAATCATACATGTAAGTTAATACAAGCAAAAACCTGTATTTTTTTTGTATATATGCTTTTTATTAGGTTAACAATAATTGAGTTTGTATTTTGGTACAAATTTGCGTGTAATTTTTTACTGCTTATCTACTGCTGTTAAATATTCTTCGCTACTTCCCTAATTATAAAGATTTTTCTAAGTACATTTTTATTTAAAGGAGCAAACGGAACCGGACACGGCGGCGATGGCGCAACACGTTAAGTCCCTTATTGATGACTGCAAGAAACTGCTTGTGGATACGGAACCAGTTCTCGGCTCCTGGGGACTTATAGACGCTGATCCACAGTAAGTGAAAAATGTCTTTAAATATCGTGAATAAACAACTTAGTATAAGTAGTATACAAATTTGATCCAGATTGGTTCAGTCGTTTTGGTAAATAAGTCCATAAATATTCATTAAAAAAATATATAAGTATGTCTACTAATTACAATTTTTTACTACACAGAAGAAGATTTGCCAAAAGAAATCATTGAATAAATTAAAATTGTAACACTCCGTACACGTAAATACATTTATCCGACTTTTTACTAACCCAGTTTGGCTATAATTATGTTAAAAAACGTGTCTCCAATTCCATTAAAATTTTGGCTAATTTACTATCTTTAATAAGTTTATCGCATTTATGGACACCCTACTTTTATCCTAATAAACAATATGAAACCATGGTTACCCTACTTACTAAGCACATATCTTCCGTCCCTTTCCCCTAGTACTGGTGACCCGCACGAGACAGAGATGGACAGCGTGATGGTGCTGACGAGCGAGGCGTACTACGTCACGGATTACGACGAGACGTCCGATCGCCTGCTGTCGGTGCAGCGCGTGCCGCTCGCTGACGTCACGCTGCTCGAGCTCGGCACTCTCGACACTAACCCTACGGTAATAGAGTTCACATTCGCTCCGTATCTGCACTGTGACGTCATAATACATATGTATTGATACTAGAGTTTAAATATTTATATAGAGGAGGCTTAGTTGACAAAAACGTAATTTTAATTGCGTCATATTTTGACCAATGCGGAGCAACAACTGCACAGGTGAATGTCGCCACTTTTATAAAATAATACTAAAGGTGGTAAACAATTACTATGGGCATTTATGTCATAAGTTCCAAATAATTGACATATAGTTTGGTTTTGCAATTTCGCGGAATTTCGAAAGAAGTTAAGTTAGTAAGTAACTAAAAATTTGCAGGCGCCCTTGTAATATCAAAAAGGTGCTATAAGATCCTTGGAACTGTCGTTTGGACCTATTTTGACGGGACTTTGACTAGAAGGTAACTAAGTCAGAAACACGAGGGAATGTTATAGACGATCTTTTCTAATTCCGCGCTAACGAATTGTGTTTTCTACAGCTTATTTCTTATAAGATTTTTTTAAATCCGTTATCATTTTTTAGATATTCGGAGTGGGACGTAAGAGCAGTACGGAGCCGGTTGTATGTATCCGTATAAGCTACAAGTACAGCGGTGAAGCGGGCTACTTCCATATGTTCCGGTCTACTTCACTACGCTTCTTTAACAACATGGCTGTTGTTATCAATACCAGGGACGAGATGATCGGTTAGTAAACATGATAACTGCAAATTGTATGTTTTATAACATGTCAAGAACAGAACAAGGTGGCACTAAACTTCACAACTAACATAGTACCGTTTAAAGAAGTTACCGGTGAAAAAAAACGTTGTTCACTATGTATAGTCTATATATTTCTTATATCTTTGAATAAGTTATATAATCTATATATATAGATAAAGTCGGTATATACGGTAATTAGTAATTGTTTATGTACAATATACATTTGTATAATTAAATGGCGTTTCAGTATTTGGCCTAAATTGACGTCACCATGAGTGTTTGTGTTTTTTAGTTAAATCTATAGTGAAGTTTTTTGTTTTCTGTTTTTGCAGTGATATTTAATATTCAATTATAATAGACGAGCTTTTGCCCGCAACTCCGTCCGCGAGGAATTAAAAAACTGAAAAAATGAGGTGCCTGTGTGTTCTTCCAGACTATCCTCTAAGTCTATACCAAATTTCATCGAAATCCGTTCAGCCGTTTAGGCTACAAACTCTAACAAACATCCATCTAAACTTTCGCATTTATAATATTAGTATGATTTTCTATAGAATCTCTTCATTCGATCTGCGAGTCAGTGATGGTGGCCCGTGACGTCGCCAAGCTGCCGCCGGTACCTTTCCATGACGGAGTTAAACTGGAGAAGAGGAAATCTAAGGTAATATAGACAAGTAAAATAATTTTAATTAATTTTACATGTACGAAGTATACTAAAAAGCCGGTTTTAAATAACCTAAAATAGGCGAATACATCTATACTATTATAATAAAGCGTAAACACACACTTCTTTGTTGCCTAAGATGTCAGCAATTACACCATATTTTTGAATAATTCTTTTTTTAATAGAAAGCCCTACACTTACGTCGCGCTTTAGGATATATATTTTCACGCTATTAAACTTAGTAGGTAAATAAACTGGACAAAAATACTAATGTGTGAAAGAGACCATAAGTTGCTGCCAACATCAAGGAAAAAAGATTGCCATAGATTGTCATCATGTCATTTTGTTTGCAATTGATAATTTGACAAATGTAAACGATAAAGGAAAGTTTTTATAATTTCCTGCGGATGAAGCCGCACGGGAACAGCTAATCAGTTGTACAGAAAGAAGAAATTAAAAATACAAATTCCAAATACACTCAGTCGCATGTTATTTTTAAACTTAAACGAGTAATTAGATAACTTAAACTAAATCTACGGGGAAATTTGCGTTTCACTGTTTTAAATACTTTTTGACATATGAATAATAATAATTTACGCATTTTTACGCTAATACGATATTAAGAAAATATTTCCGTCTGTTTTTTATACAAATTTTATAGAAAATCTTAAATATTCAGTGAATTTTTCAATAAATGTACACTAGAAATATATATCTTAAAATATGTTAACTTGTAATAGAACTTTGGTCCTTCGAGTCGGATATTTTCTAAGTAAAATATATCAAGTAATTATAGATTTTCTTTTCAGATCCACGGCACGTCGTCAGGCGGGGCTAGATCTGCGTTATATCTAGATGTGTCTCGTTTACCTTCACTCACACGGAATGTGAGCGAGACGCAACTAGTCGCGGATATACGGAGCGTCGGTAAGAATTCATTTTATACACAAACTAGCTGTTGCTTGCGACTCCGTCTGATTGGAATTAAAATGTTTCTTACTAATATTATAAATCTGAAAGTTTATTAGAGTTTTTAGCTTAAACGGTTGAAGGGATGTTGAAATTTGGCATAGAAGGATGGTCAGGAAGAACACATAGGTTATTCACTTTTTTTTTTATTCTACGCTAACGCAGTCGAGGGCGAAATCTAGTTGCCTATATTACTCACAGATTAATTACCTTTCTAATAGTGAGAGAATTTTTGATATCAGCCCAGTAGTTTTTATGTTATTTCGATACATAAAAAATTTAGAAAATACGATTCTTTCCTCTTTATAATAGTTAAACTGTGTAAGTGTTATAATTTTGTCCTGTTTATCTCAATCATATACATATACTAATATTATAAATGGAAAAGTTTAGATAGATGGACGGATGTTTCATAGAGTCTGTAGCCTAAAGTGCTGGAAGGATCTCCATGAAATTCGGTACAGATGTAGAGCAAAGTCTGGAAGAACACATAGGCTACTTTTTGTCCCGGGAATAGTTACGGTTTCCGTGCAATTCATTGATTTAGTTTTTTAACGTTTACTCGATCATTCTGCAACAGTTCATCATATCTTATTTGAAATTTGGCACAGATATAAAACATAGTCTGGAGTACACGAGAGTTTTTGTTATTTACTAGCTGTTCTCGTGCGACTTCATCAGCATAAAATAATGAAAATTTTATTTTGTTGTTTACATGTGTCATATTATCAATAGCAAATGTCAAAATGACATGACATGAAACTTGGCAATCTTGGTTCCTTGATGTTGGCAGCAACTTATGGTCTCTTTCCCACATTAGGGTTTTTATCCAAAATATTTACCCCCTAAGTTTAATGGCGTGAAAATATAGAGCCTAAAGCGTGACGTAAGTGTACGGCGTTTTAATATTATTAAAACGTATTTAAAAAGGAATTATTCAAAAATATGCTGTAATTGCTGACATGTTAGGCAACAAAGAAGTGTGTTTACGCTTTATTATAATAGTATATATATAGTTCGTATGTTTTCTAATACGACGCGGACTAAGTCGCGGGCAACAGTTAAGGTAATTTCAGACGTCCACCTTATATATGTATTTTCTCCCGCGACTCCGTCTATCAAAGTTAAGTTGTCGTAATTGTGTAGAACGGCGTGAGTGCGGTTCGTTGCGGGACGCAGTACTCGAACAGATAATACGTATGGTGAGCGTGCGCACCGAGTGCCGGTACATTCCGCAACTTAACGGACAACTGCGCCACGACGAGCACACCGTTAGTTACTTTACACACGTGCTACACTTGTATTGACTACCACATAGATATTACAATATTGTATAGAGGAGGCATTGACACTTCATTTTAAATTTTTCACATTCGCTATGTATTGATAGATCCTAAAAATCAAGTCAATATATGTATTCAAATTAATTGCTCACAGGTGTCATTTTATTTTGTAATAATGTTTAGTTTTTTTTTTTATATAATAAAAGATGGCAAACGAGCAAGCGACCACCCGTATCCACCGAAATGGAAAGCGACCGCTGCCCATAAACATCTACAATTGCAGATGCGTTGCCTACCCTTCATTGACGGAGGTTAGGACGCACATAAAGAGGATATTTCCCCTTCCTATATGTCTTCTCCACCGTCAAATCTACTTTTCCTTCCCATCCTTTCCTCTTAAGAAAAGGGTGGAAAGGTAAAGGGACTAAAATTAGGCCTCCGGCACCACACTCATCAGACTGTACGCGGAATTGCTCCCACTTCACGCGTTTTCTGTGTGGTCGTGGTATTACTGGGGGCGGGCCGACCCTACAGTGCGAAGATGTTAAAGCGGGCTCTACCACTGTTAAAAACTTTATTTTGTAACAAAAAAATGTAAAAAAAGTTTATTTTATAACGATAAATTGTAAAAAAAAGTTTATTTTATAACAAAAAAATGTAGCTTATCATTTGTCATGTCAATATACACGAGGTGGTACTAAACTCGACAACTATAGTACCTATCAGAGAAAATATAAGAGAGAAAAAATGCCGGTAAAAAAATTTTGTTCACTGTCTCTTCTATATATTTTTTAAATGTCTATGCATTTGAAGTATACAGCGAAAAAAGTTTATGCAAAGTTTTGTATAAGTAATAGGTTTCAATAATGTGTTATCCGTATTTCGACTAATTGTTAGTAAACCCCTCTATAAAGCGGTGGTTCCGCGTTATAGAGCGTCTCTCCTCTATAACACGTTAACTTACAGCGGAGAGAACCTTTATAAAATATTTTAAAATAAGTAGGTAACAGTATGTGTCAATACAAGTGTTATCGCTGTTGAAACTAATATCTATGTAGCTAGAATAAAATGTAAAAATTCATTCATTCAAAGAATGAATGATAGACCGAACTCAGTCTGTATAATCATTCAATTAGATTCGTATGTTCTTAGTTTCAAGGTAAAATTTACTAATTAAACCAATTTTTCCTATGATTTATGGATATAATATTGGACGTTATTAAAATTGTTTCCAGGATCCAAAGCCTTGAATAACATGACTGAGCAATTCAGTAAACTGAACAAGTTAAGTCATTCACTTAACGCTAAAGCACGTCCAAGTCTCCAACTAAAGTTCGATCAAGGCGCTTCACGTACTAAGAAAATGTTCACAATCGGACAAAGTAAAAACGATAAGAAAAAAGGTAGCCTTTCCGACGGCTTGAGTTCGGATTATTCCTCCGACGATGAGAACAGAACGAACATATTTGAACCGACATTAGATAATTTTGAGAATACCCAACATTATATTGGTAAAAAAGACAATAATGATACAGAAAACGATTGTGAATTAATACAAAATCCTTTATATTCATCGAAAATAGAACCGGAAGTGACAGAGATCGTTCAAATACCAGAGATAACAGAACGACCGCCTGTTAAAACACCTAACATACAGAAAAGGAATCCATTCGATGCAGATACAAAACCGGAGATACAAATTGAAAGTTTCGTAAAACCGATACCACCGAATACTTTGTTATTATCACAAAAATTATCACATAGTTCAAGTGATATTAATTACGATGATGAGAATTCACAAGTCCACGTGAGATCAAACTCTCAGCATGATATCACTTTGAATATCGCACAGTCTCATAGTGAATCAGCTCTTAAACAATTAAAAAACATCGCAAGTCCGATGTCAAATGCAACGAGAGAAATGGTGTTATCACCACTCTCGAAACTCGCTAAAGGAGTCCAGACTCTAGGCGCCAACTTGGACCCGAGAAAAATTAAGGTAATACAATTGTTTTTTTTTATCAATTTTCAGTATTTAAATTTACAAAAGGTTATAAAATTACCACTGGTGTTCACTGTCTTGTCTATATATTTTTAAATGTCTATGCACTTGAAGTATAAAGCAAAAAAAGTTATAAAAGTATGCTAAAAACAATTTTTATTTTTTAAATTAAACATACCAAATTATATAATAGTACAATTATGGTCGGTTTCCAACCTACGTTTAACCATTACTTAGTGTTTTTATGATAAATTCATGAAATGCCTTTCCGAACAGCGTAACTTGAGTTTTACTTCATAAGATGGGTTAACCTATCACTAATGAATCTCTAAGTAATAAGTGCAAACTTCAGAAACCGAGCATTAATAATCTACAATTAAGCTTAGTTTAAAATAAATGGATTGAAGCGTAATTTTATATATCCTTCAAAAATATATAATCGAGAGGTTGTAAATTATTTTTGACGTCGCATCTGTCAGAATGGAGCGTCGGTGGCTCAGTGGTTTAAGCACTTGACTTGTAATCTACAGGTCTTTGGGTTCGAATCCCGCTGTAACAATATGATTTTAGATTTTTCGAATTGTATATAATTTACCCGACGTTCTAACGATGAAGGAAAAAATCGCGATGCCTGCACATATCGGCGACGAAACTCAAAGATATGTGTGAGTCAACCAACCCGCACTTGGCCAGCGTGGTTGACTATGGCCTAGTCACCCCTTATTAGGGTAGGCTCCGAGCCCCTCGGTGGGGACGTATAGTGAGCTGGTGATAATGATGATCTGTCAGAATGACATCTGTCAAAAAGTTTGACATTCGAAAAATTACACTCCGTTTTTTAATTTTTTTTTTCATAATTTCCAGGCATCTGGTTCTGTTAAACAAATATCAGAACAACAATATGAAGAGCACAAAAAACTGCAAGAGAAATGGCAGGGTTGCAACACTCGCCTTATCGCGCTGTAGGGCTGCCAACGGAGTGTTGCTAGGTGAAAAATATTAATTATTAATAATTTTTACTAAAATATTTATTGCTTAAACGAATTGTTAGCGTGTAGTTTCAATTGATCTTTAAGTTGACAAACGTTATTTTAATTTTATTTCCCTTGACATTTAGTTTTAGTATGAATAGAAGTTTATTTTTTATTTATTGATAATAAATGCTATAATGACGCATTTCAAGGATATATATTGAATTGAATAGACAATACCATAGATTATTAAGATATTTAGTTCTGTTAATTTAATTCCCGCCTTTTCAAGATGGCGTATTTGTATGGAGTGAAAAAAAATATGTTCAAATTTTGTCACAAAATTCTCTTACGTTAGTGGAATTATTTTAGTATTTATAATACTTATCTGAAAATTTGTGTTTTTTTCTGTAATGTTTATGTTACGATACAGTATTATAGAATATTTATTTCGTTTATTTAAAGTATTGGTTAACCTACAGTTAAATGGTCTGTTAACCTCGATATATATTTCACAACAAAGTTTCTACAATAATTAAGGAAATTTACCCAAATCTGTTCTAGAAAGATATATTAGGCCGTCTTCACCTCGGCAGGGTATTTGTTACGCCCACAAATTAAAAAAAAAATAAAATAAAAAACTGCAATTAATTCTAATACAAAACCACCTTATCTCAGTATTAAATTATAACTATGTTCTAATGTAATCAAATCAAAGTTACCAAAATATGAATTTATAGAAAAAATTACTCAATACATAATTATTAGTATTTTTTCTGCCTATAAAAAGTATTTAAACCGCTTATATCTGTAAAATATTATAGTTCTTCAAATATTAAATAGTAAAATTATTGCATATGGACAATTTGCCAAATATTTTCAAAAGCTTAATTTTATAAAAATAAAACAAACTTTTCAGAACCATAGATTTATAGATAAGCACATTTTATCTAATCTATGCTATAAAAAATGGCTAAAACGTTCAATATTTCATACATTTTCTCAGACATTCAAAGGGTCATTACTAAGCACCAATATTTTATTCTTAATTAAATATAAAACAATTTGCATCATCGCTATAAACAATTATAAGGTAAAATACAAAATATTCAACTTATAGTTTGTCTAAATAAAATAGATTAGTTTGATAAATGACGTATATGAAGTATCGAATTCAATTTGTATGAAGGCAAATGCCATACTTAATAGACAGGTATCGTAGTGACGAAACACGCAGCGAACAATTTGGATCTATCGATATTCGGTTTAAATAATTATGGAACTCGACTAAAATTATTATTTTCTTATAAACTAATTTATAGGACATTTCTAGTATTGATTATAGTAAAGAGAATTTAGTGATGACAGACATAATAGCGAAATCCAATTCGATTACGTACGGATGTAGTAGTAATAAACATTTATTTCCTCTCATTATTTGTTATGGTCATTATTAATTTCAGAAAACAGTGGTTTTTATTTTAAATTAAATTATAAATAATTATAACTATAAATCTATCGATTCTAACTTCTATAAGAATAAAAATCGAAAATCGATAAGATTCATGACTGATTACACAACCCATCCCTACTAAATATGAAATGAATTGTCAAACTAATCTAACTTATTTAGACTCACTATAGTATTTATATTAGTATTAAAAAATACACCAAGTATTATATTTAATAATTAGCTTCTACTAATGTATTAATTAAATTTTATTGTAGGCAAAAATCGCCAAAAGATAGGTTATAAATGCGAGCTGTCAATTTGACATTCCCGCCAAATTAAAATAGTAACGCACCATAGCTGTTATAATAACCGTTATTAGCTGATTACCGTTACAACGTTAACGCTTTATGAAATATTAAATAATTCGCTAAATAAACGAGTACAAAGATATAAGAATTGTCTTTTTAGAATCGCTTTTATAATCAATGTTCTTGTATAACTAACATATATGAAATGTTTTAAATTTTTATGTGATTTAAATGCAATTTTTAGGATATTTTATTGACAAATTTTCTAAAACATTTGATAAAACCCTGTATCTAACTTTTGTCATACAATCTAAATTATAATCTGACCAGAAATATAAAAACTCTAGACTAATTTGCCCTTGACTTAGGATTGTTATATTCTTGTTTAAACTATACAGGAGTGATTCTTAACGGATCAACGGTTTTGTTGAGGTAAAGAACCTCAATAGCTATCATTAAAACGTAACGCTTATTGCCCGATTTTCTATAGTTTTAAAATAACGTACGGTCAAATTTAAGGCGGAAATCTGATTCTTCCGATTTTATTTACAAAAAATTAAATAACTTTAAAACTACAGAAAATCGGGCAACAAACTTTGCATTTAAATGATAGCTATTGAGGTCCTCTAACTCCACAAAACCGGTGATACGCCCGTTAAGAATCACCCTGTATAATGCAAACCGGATACATACTTAGAACCTAACCTATTTTTACTATCCTATACTTACAACGAAATTTTGATTTTACTCTACAAAAGCTTTATAATTGTATAAAAAAATATACCCGTTTATAACAATTACAAATTTTCTAATTAATAAATAAACAATTTTTTTACATACTGTAGCAAAAAGATATGTAATTTGCTTTAAAGTTCAAATATGACAGTTGTGCTATTGCTGTCTCTGTTATATTGATAGAGATAGAAAGAGATGGCTATATTGTAAACATGCTATGATAGTGGAGTTTCAATGTTGGTATTGTAGGATTTTACTGTGCTGTTTGTATTGTACGTGCATTGATGTGTATTAGTGGTTAAAAAATTAGAATCCCTTAGGTATCGTATAAAATGGTTTACAACTGAGATATTTTAGTTGTCAGAAATTTTAGTGGCTTTATACGAGTCGTTACACAAATTCAGGTGTAGCGAGATATTTGAAATGAACTATACAAGAATTATGAGCCGCTAAGATATTTGATAAGAAGTATACATGATTCAAACTTTGTTAAATGTTGAGTAAAGTGAGGAACAAATTTTGTTAAATCGGAGAATTTTCTTGCAACTTTTTTTTTTACAACATAAGGTGGCAAACGAGCAAGCGGCCACCCGAATCCGCCAAAATGGCGAAGCGACCGCGGCCCATAGACATCCGCAATTTCAGATGCGTTGCCTACCCTTATCCGTCGGAGGAGGAAACGCACATAAAGAGGATATTTCCCCCTCCTATGCATCTCCTCTACTGTCAAATCCAGTTCCCCTTCCCATCCTCTCCTTATGAGAAAAGGGTGGTAAGGAGTAAGGGGCTTAAATTAGGTCTCCGGCACCACACTCATCAGACGAAACACGGAATTACTTCCATTTCACGCCTGTCTTCTGTGTGGTCGTGGTATTACACCGGGCCTGCCGGCCCTGCATTGCTAAGATATTAAAGCGGGCACTACCACTTTACCACTTATGTTATGATCGATTGTAATACCGGTTTTAGAGAATTCTAGAACCCCCCTTTTAACCATTCCTTTGGCATGAGGGTTAACAGTTACTTGAGATTTGTAATTCGAAGACTTTGGCGCCCTTTCTGTCCAGCGCTCTGCCAAAACGCCGGTACTGATAGAATATCGTACAGAATGTTCTCGGCATAACAGCTTTAGGGATGTTGCTATGACAATTTTTCGAACTGTGACCATCAATGGGTAGGAAATAAACTTCCTCGACTATAAATATACCAGTTGTAAAGCATAAACAAAAATAGCTTGCTAGATACAGTATTACGATAGGTCTGATATTATTCAGTATGGATTTAAATAACAGTTAATCTTGATATATAAATGTGATTTTTACAAAGTAGCCAAATTCAAGTTATTATTGAAACACTGTTTTTGGCATATATGGTAGGGATGGGTCGTTTTTAACGTCAACAAAACGTTGAATAAATGGTTAAAGCTTTCTCAACTAATCGAATAAAAAATTACTATAGGTCGTCACCTAAAGTAATTTTTTATTTACCAGAGAATTTTATGTAAATTTGTCTAAAGTTCAACTAGTTGAATGAAAAACGATCAACGGTTGAAACGAAGTGTTAATAACCGTTTATTCAACTAGTTCACGCTAACGCCCATCCCTATGTGTCGTGTATAATTTTGGAAATATTGACAATTACAATGCAACGATTAAAATGTATTTAGCTAATGTAAAGTTATTCCATTAATTAGTTTCCTTCTTAATGAAGAATATTTAATACTCTTTTCTTAAATGTCATGTGGCTTTGATATAATTAAAAATGTTGTGTAATTCGACGTTAAAATATATTTTTAATTCGTTTCTTTGTATGGTTAATTTTTATTACCGAGTTGTGTTTATTTTAAACAAAAAGCTGGAGGTTTTATTCACGTTTTTAGTTTTCGATTTTCGTAAAATTAACTCGTTCCTATTCAATTGATGTTATATACTTAGTTCAGTTTTGTCTTCCACCAAAGAATTATTTGTCCGTGAAAATGATTTTTTACTTTTACATAAATAAATTGGTAAATTCTTATCATATATTTCCTTACTTATTATTGAAAAATACTTTTTTACTATATTACTATATTATACTATATTATGTCTAAATATTTAGTTAATTTCATCACATGTATTTATCTAAAATGTATTCTGATAGTTTTGTCTTCTCATTTATTTAATATTTTTATGTATCAAAAGTTATTGATTATTCAAATTGTAACCACTATTATTTACTACAATGTAAATCTACTATTATTTTAACCTGACATGTATAAAAACCGCTATATTACGTAAAAATACACAACTAATTCGTTTACATATGTTACAAAGTTATGTAATCACTGATCTCTATAAATGGAAAGGCTATATAGGGACATATTATGTCATTCGATTTTCTTAATTTTGCCGCTGATGGTTGCAGTGCAGCGGTAGTTTTCGAACTAGTAATATTGATAGACGTAACTGTTAACCACAAAACAATAATTTCCAATCGCCTACCCATTTATACAGATCATTGGATGAAATGAAGAACATAGTTGAAGCAACCACAAGACAGGATTTCTATATTCTTGTTTAGGCTATATTCAATATATTTTGTGTGTTTCCTTGTTTAACAAGGGTTTGACATTTATTGTGTGTGTTTCTTTTTTATGACATTTAAGTGTTTACCGAAGTTTTACTTCAATCTTTCCAGTTTTGTGTCTGTGATTGATTTATTTTTATTTGTAAGTTATTTATATTTATGAGAATAAAATGCTTCGAATATAGTAAATATGTGTTTGACTTATACTGTTCAGAATTAAAAAAAAGATTTATTATCTTGAGTAGTTGTTGCTCATAACCCACGTGAAATAAAAAGTATAGCCTATGTTACTCAGTAATAACATAGCTTTTTAGGAAATGAACTTTTGAAATCGTCCCAGTAGTTTTTGAGTTATTTAAATACATACAATCTTGAGTACATTCATAAAACTATATTTTTATGTCTGTTTTGAAAACTTTTTAGAATAAAACAACCATTTTATAATTCCGTAACATTATATTACTTATCTTGATGTTTCTGTTCAGCTTCTAAATACGAAGGCATTCTGCCAAATAATAACTTTTCCCTTTTATGTACATGTCGTTGATGTTTCATCATAGCATTTCTATAGCCAAATGCCTTCCCACACATGTTGCATACATGATTTTTTATACCCAAATGATCAGCCTCATAATGTTTTCGTAACATCTGCTCTGTATGGAAGGCTCTTTTACAAGCGTTACACTTAAATTGAGGCTCCTTATGCTTCAACATATGACTATTCAAATTACTCCTAAACAAAAATCGAGCAGGACATTCTGTACACATATATCTATAGTCCCCAGTATGAGTTCTCATATGAGTTTTAAGTAATTCTGCATATCTGCCTCTGTATGGACAGAATTGACATTTAAAAGGGAAGTCCTCTCTATGACGTAGACTATGGTTGTGGTATGCACATCTTAATCTAAATGATTTACCACAAACATCACAGACATATTTAAGATGGTCTGGATCATGCATTGTGATGTGTTCTTTGAAATATGATCGATTTACAACTTTGTTACAAATGTGACATGTTACTTTTGTTGCTTGTTTCAACTTCTTAGTTCCTTTATCATTGACGTTTTCTGAAGACCAATTTTGTTTTGTGTCGTATTCACAATTGTCATAACCTTCAGTTAAATGTTCTATATCTATTTGATCTTGAGTTTGATTTAACATTACCTCCTCTTTAACAGGGAGATTATAAACTTCTGCGGATTTCTTCGCCGCTTTTCGAAATAAGATTGCTCCTTGAAGAAAATTGTAACAAAAGCGACATAAATGTTTTGAAAATTCGTCATTTTCTGTGATTTCAATATTTGCAAATATACTTATAGCCTCTAAAATCTCGGATGAATCATTCCCTAAAATTGATACAACTCCTTGTTGTAAACATATTCTACAGCTATCGGATTGTTTGTTTTTCTGCGGCAAATCGATTATTTTGCTATAATAACTAACGGCATCGAAATTATTTTTGTTTTGCATTTTCATTATGTAATATGAAGTCACCATGTTGAAGAATTTTTCACATTTACTTCAAAATCCAATTTTAAATACTTTTAAAATCAACGTAAATCAATATCACTGAAAACAACAATTGGTAATGTCAATGTCATATTAAAAATGTCAATATTTAGGGATGTGCTGTCAACATGCATGATGATGTCTCGAATTAATCGAAATCGATTTAAAAATATGTTGATTATTTCTCGTTGAATAAAAAATATGTATCGAATATAATTGTAAATTAATTTTGATAGTTAACATGGATGGATCATTAATTCCCAGCCTGCTCTTTTATTTTCTGAAAGCAATTTCTGTTCTTGTGTTTCATCATGCAATCAATCATCAATTACGATCCCTAGAGTAAAATAAAATGTTTAACGGAGTTTAAAATGATGAAATAAAAACAACTCATGCGAAATATTAAAATTGTGTTATATATTTGCTATAAACAATCATTGGACTAGAATAGGTTAATACTTTGGTTTAAATCTTAATAAAATATTTGGTATTAATAAATTTGGAGTACATTTATAAGTTAATTCTATAATATAAACACTCTAAAAACTCTAATGTTCAGGATTCTAATTCACAATGGAAGATTTCTTTATTACTTTAAATTGTTTTTACACAAAGGCCACATTATCACTTACCATTTATTCTCATTGCCCAAAGACCATACAAAAACATAGTTGGCAATCTCATTTTCTTTGATAAAGTAGAGCCATAGTTTTGTAGATTTTTTGGCAATAGGAACACACAGTTATGGGTTTTAACTACAGGATTAAATTACATAATTGCAATTTCTAAGTACATATAAATATGACACACTTTGTAATACAATTATTAGTAATTTTGGCAGGATAAATGTTTGAGGTATATAAAATACTGCAGTTTTTTAATAACGAGACTTATAAAACAGTTTCACACTTTTTTTAAAAATATGCATCTGGGTGCACCCGCCAAATCGAGCATGGCCAAACACTATTTTTAAATCTTAATTTTCGAAAACCAGTAACCTTGTTTTAATATCTATAGAAAAAGACTGTGGAACTATTATAGTTCACACTTTTGTACAAGACTGACATTTTCACTGGCACTAGCTCAATAATTAAAATGGTAAAAACTCTTTGGTAGAAATATCACACAACACACAATAACATACTAAACATTTAAGTATAATGTGTATGAATTACTCTATGTTCCAATACATAAAAATCTGTAAATAATCAAATTAGTCATATGAAGGACCACGGCACATAGTGACAATAAACATTGAAGCAAAAATGTACTCTAAAACTTGTATCGTAAGCATTAATGTGCACCAGATGTATTCAATTCTCAGAATAACAACTTGTTTGACCAACAAGTATAGTACGCACACCATTGATGGTATAGTCAGAAAAACTGAAAACATCACAGGAATATCTGAAACAATGGTAGTTCAATATATATTCTGTCAGTCATAGAATTAACTTGAATGCATTACCCCAACAAAATACATGTCAAGTAGAAGTAATTCCAAGTTTCATCTGTACATGCAAATCAGATTTTTCCTTTTCCCTCTTTACAAACTCATCTTATAAGAACTTGAAGGGGAAGTACATTTGGCGCAGGAAATGAGACATAGGGACTATCCTCTTTGCTCTGAATTATGTTAGCAGTTTGCTTGTTTATCGTCTTCTTGAATGAGAACATCAAGAACCTTCTTAGTTAATTGTGAACTTATGGTATAAAAAATCTAAGATAAGGTATAGGCACAGGAATGAAGAGATTAAATGAATTTTTATTGCAGTCTCTTACCTCTCTCACTAAGACTCCCTTTACGTCCAAGAATAAGTCTAGCTCCTTCTATTATAAACAGCCCCATCAATACACCATAATCCTGGCCAACAGTAACCCAATAGCTGTCGCTATTTTGCTTGTTCCCGATCAATATAGATTTCAATATAAGTGTACCCAATTCACATGTGGCAAAAAGACCAAAATAAAATGAATTTATATACAAAAGTATTTCGTACGCTAAACTTGAATTAACCATTGCGCTTTTTTAATTGGAACGATTGATACTAACTCTTTAATTAACAAGCAATTTAAATTAAACTCAGTGGATTTTATAAAACACTATTCACTATTTTTAAAAATAGAACATGAAGAACACCTGTAATGTATCGGTAGAAAATGGTAAATTATTTATTAATTGACATTGACAACTGATGTCGCTATAAGAATCTACCAAAACAAGTTGCGCTTTTTATGATTTTCACCAAACGTAGTTAAATTTTATATGCCCAAAATCAAATGTTAATTTTTTTTTTTTAGTATAGATGAACTTTAAAAATGCATTTTAATTTGATACACATATCTAATTTTGTGACAACACTTTCTATGTAGGTTTCTATGGCCAAAACATCCAAACAAAGGGCATATCGTTATCTCAGGGTTTTCAGAGAAAATAAGAGCGATGGCAACATGTTAATGTTTGCCGATTCAGCAGTGGAACCCCGAGGTAAGGTTCAACGAATGGCAGAATGAACGACTGAATAGGACCGAACAATTTTTTTAGGCGATGTAGATATCTAACCCTACCTAACTATAACATAATCTGCCTGATTTACTGACCGACAGACGCGAGCGTGGGTAGACGTCTCCACGCTGGTTACATTTTTGACCTGTGATTTTTATTGAATTAAAGTTATAAAACATCTCGAATAAATACAGTTGTGCAGTTATTTTGTGTTACTATTCATAGTGTTGACTGAATGTGTTGTGGTAAGTGTTATGTTGCAGAAAATGTCACGGACCACGCGCTATTAGAGCACGTTTTGATCTAATAAGATGTAAAACTTTTTATCAACATTATTATTTATGACGGGAGAACGTATTTTTATCGTTTAATCTTAAAAATAAATTGGTTTAGTGTAAAAGATATGCTACGTTTTTGCTTGGCAATGTTACGGTTTACTGTATATTGTATTGGCGTGGTCATATACCATCAATAACCTGTGTGAATAGATTTCTCACAGATATGTTCTTTAAACACATAGCTAACAAGATAACGCGATTGGATGTCATAACTGCAGCATTGGCACATGTTTATGCGAGAAAAATTATGTAAAAATAAATCTGTTATGTCCATTTTTGTAGGAAATATTTATTGAGAATAGTTGAACATATTACATACATTACAAGAAATGTTTATTGTAAAATTAAGGATGTGTAACGATCTAACAATAATCCAATATAATTTTAAGATGATATTAATTCGTTTAAATTCACTTCCCTAAAATATTAAATTAACTTAATAATTATCAATTATCTTTCATTATATTGCCATGCGACACTTGAAATATGTACGCGCTATAACTGGCACATGACATATTAAAACAAAAATTACGCATTTCAAATTCGTCATTGTTTACAAAGAAACATCCGTTTCCGGATTTAGAATAATTTTAAATAAGTTACGTTCCGTTTTTCAATAAATATTTAACACATTACATCAAAATATACAGAGTTATAAAAAATCAGTAGTCGCATTCATTAAAAGATAAGATAATTTAAGATTCTTTTACAAAATGCAAGTGTTACCGTAACCTAATAAAGACACATGTAAACAATCCTTATCTGTGGGTTTTCCGTGCTTAGATGGTACATATTGTTCTATTTACATTCATAATGATTGTTTAGACTATCAGCAGCTAACCTATAACGTTGTTATTTGTTCATATTGAGCTATTATAATTATTTTATTCTTACAAAATGCGAAATAACGACGCATACAGTCTAAGAATTAAACTTACGTGACATATGAATAAGTTATAGTAAGTGTATATTTAGGTAAGATTTCGTTTGAAATCCAAATGTAATAACACCAAAATGGGTAGGAAATTATGATCCTCGACTATACGTGGGCAAAATTACTTTATTGAAATAAAAACCAATATGTACAGTCGTGGAAATCCGCGGTGTTATATAAATATAAAAAATGCTTTGTTCATTGCAAAGGCAAATCCTGCTTCTTACCACACCAATTAGGTTGCAGTGTGTTGCACTAACGACGGGATAATAAGACGTGTACTACTGGCAGATCTTTTTCGTACAGACACATTTAAGTTCCGTTTCGCAGTTTTAATACGTACAAATCTTTCAAACAACTATATACTTCAAAGTGATACACTGTCAGTATCCCCGACTGTACTTCGTCTCTGTAATGGAACTCCATTCTACAACTGTAGATAATAAATTATTTCTCATATCTCATTCATCTATTCAATGTAGAATGAAAAATATCTCGCGTTAAAATACACGGGGCATGGAAATTTTAAAAAGACAGTTCTATTTTACATTTTTTAAAAAGGACAGTTTATTCAAGTGATGAACGCTCTCGGCGTAATAATGTCGCATTGTTTGAAGCGTTTTTTTTTTCTTACACCTTTGAGAAAGTCGACTTCAGGAACTAAATAGGTTGTCGCACCCGACCTACTTACGTCTGGGACTTAAAACATGCATAGATAAAATGTTCCTTGCATTGTAACAATTTAACTGCAACGCCTTTCAAAAATCAATTCATAAACAGACAATTAAAAATGCTGATTTATCAGCTCCAATTTGAAGAATTAAACCAACATATTATTGACAGAGATATGGGACCTATCCCGGCGACGTTGGAGTGACATGACAAAGAAAACGACATGCAAATTGAGTTCTTTGTTGTCTCATAATGTAGTTATGTCATACAAATATAAAGGAAGTGAGTAATTTTAAACGATAACTTCAGCTCAAAATTGTTTATATGTGAAATTTTTTAGACTGTTTTAAAAAACAAATGTGTTTTGTTTGTGTAAGATTTTTTTATAGCTAGTAAGTAATTTATTAAATATTAAATACGAAAAATTATAGAAATTATTCAATTCTGTAACACAATAATAAAACAAACGTTTCAACAGCGTCATTTCTAAAAATCAAATTAATTTTCTAATCTAAAAGGCCTTATGTACAATATCTTCTGTCCTCAGGTCAAAGACACTTAATTGTAGATTGTACAGCTTTCCTTTTGGAACGCGTAAAGTCCATCTAATGGCGAGTTCACACTTAGCATCAGTAGCATAGTAGCGCTCCATAACTGGACCGGCATTCAACTTGCATAGGAACACTAACTGGCGCCAGTGAGTTCTTTCAATGGCCTGGCTAAGTATAAACCAAGCATTAGTGCACTATCAGAAACGATCAGAATCCGGCCATATTTGGTCAGCCCTGAACCGGTATAATGCGGTTTGCTCCGTCATTTCCGTTCGGACAGGAATTTTATTCACAACTTCAATGTCCCTTAACAAATTCAATGTTATGGGAATGATCTACTGTGTTTAAAATGACATTTATAGGCGACATTTAACGTTGTACCGTAATTTTCTGATGAAAACATCAAAACATAACAAGTTATGAAAATGCGATCTCGAAACAACCATAAACAGATTTAATAATGCGGTAAATCGCTCAATGCAATCAAAATATAGTTATAATTTAATAACATTGCATTCAGCCAGTTCTAGATGCAATTGAATCATCAATTGACAGTTGACCTAACTCTCGGATTGCGAGAATATACTCTATAATTGAATTTATTATCTGTCGCGTGAGAGTTGCCATTAACAATAATTAAATGGTATGAAGATTGCTTTGAAGACGACCGTTAATTGCTCAACAATTCATTAAATTGATTAAACGTAGTGTCTTTATTAATATGTAACCAGCATAAAAGCTTGTATACGTTGTATTTCATAAACAGATAATATTGTGAATACAAATAGACTTATCTGTCAACACTGCACGTGTTTAAATATGAACACAATGCGGTTATGTGCCAGTATGTTATAGAATTATTTGTCTTTAAAAAATAAAATCACGTTTATAAAGGGCCAGTGGTAAAATATTAACTAACAACATAGTTTTTAATGAAACGCTGCTGACAATCTTTCGATTTTTTTTCAAATGTTCCAAATTCAAATTTAAATAAACGTTTCTTTTATTGAAGGTGGCCATTAAAAGAATTCAATGAGATATTTTTAATCATCTAAATTCAATTGTTAATGTTTTAAGATAAAGTTATTTCCTTTAGATTATTAATGTCAAGCTACGTAATAATATGCATAAAACGTATCAATAAAGCCTGATATAATAATGATAATTTTAAAACCGGTTTAAAAACGGTTACTAAGCACGATAAGAATACAACATACCTAGAATTATGTGTCAAGATAAATTTACACTTTTAGAGGTCACTAGCAAAATCTATCATGAAAAAACATTCTTCATTCTCATTTTCGTTCATATTTAGTTACAAAAATATTTTTGTATAATAGTGCCCTAACTCTTATGACATCCTGGTAGCAACACTAATCCAAAAATAGTTTTCACATTCGTTTGTCGTATAATCTTGAATTTATCCGAAAGATCTCATATTTTTATCTCAGTTTTTTCAATGTGAATGACTGGGATGGCAATAATTTTTCGATTTGAGGTCATTTTTACTGTCAAACTAACGATTGTCTTTTCGTCCACAGATATTTGACGTGGCTTACACTCTTGGTGTTATGTCCTCGATGTGTCAGTGATTCGCAATGGAGATGACGCATCAAGGCGGGGCGGAGGCCGAGAGCCTCCTGCGACCCGACCAGAGGAGCGGTATCGTTATGCCGCAAGGACGATCTGGACGTAAGTCTATTCTATTATTATGATATACAGGGTATAAGGAACGCCGAGGGTACTGCTGTGACGTCACTATGACGTAGGGATGTGAAAATTTAGATTATTCTTACAAAATAGTATAGTAAAATGAACGTGAATAAGATTCATCCTTACTGGAATGATCTTGTCAAGATTATTGCTGTGTATTGAAGTGTAAAAACGTGTTATCATATTTCATAAGTCGGAGACATATGGCCTCATCGATTTCATAACCTTGATGCTCTCTGATTTGCTTATCTGTGCACAAGCAGTATCGCCGAATATATTTTATTTAAATCTCACTAGCTTTCGCCCGCGACTCCTTCTGTGTGAAATAAAAAAAACAATGTGTCATACATTTGTGCCAAATTTTATCGAGATCTGTTCAGCCGTTTAGACTACAGACTTCTATCCAAACCTTTGGCATTTATAATATTAGTAAGACTAGCTGATTTCCTGCGACTTTGTTCGCGATGATAATCATTATGGATATCATTATCTAGGATAGGTTTAAAAAAAAAAAAGGATAGGTTTAGACGTCAGCTTCAAATATGGTCTTATTTTAAGTATTTATGTATTTAACATTTTTAGATTCTAGACCGGTCAGGTGCGTCCTTCTATCACTCCCTTTGGCATTTTAAAAACCGTCCACATTGTTTCATCAGCGAGCATTTAGTAAACATTAATTATTTGCTAAAATCGAGTTTTTTTCAAGCAAAAGACCAAACTAGTGATAATTTTGAGGTTGTTATCTAAACAATCTTAAAACTTTCTATTACCTAACCGTGCCGAATTAACAATGGACGATGGCGTATTGACAATAAGCCACTGTTCGTAACAGTTTTGGTGAAAGTATACCTTTGTGAGTTAAGTATGACAGCATTTAGAAATTAGTGTTTCTAAATTCTATTGAATATTCTATTGAAATAGGGTAATAACGTATGTACAATGTTAAGAAAATGTAATTATAAACAAACATTTATTTAATAATAATAGAAATCAACCATATAACAACAAATTAATGTGTCTCTCAATGTATGATTGAACGGAAAATCTACACTGAGTAGCTGTTTTAGTCTCTAAGACTCTGAGTGCAGACAAATAAAAGTAATAAGAAATAATAAAGCATTAAATTGTTTATATGCTAGATGTTTTAAAGAGGCAACACTTGTGTTTTAGGAATTTCGTATATATTTAAATAACTCAAAAACTACTGGCTTCATTTTAAAAATTCTTTTAGCATTAAAAAGCTACGTTATCAGTGAATAACATAGGCTATATTTTAATAAGTTTTATGCAACAAAATATAGCACAGTTAAAGCAAAACGTCCATTAGCGAAGTATACGATGGGCAAAGTATGTCGAGTCGTAATGAAGGTATGTACTAGATACTGGAGTGCCCCATTAGGCTCAGGGCGGAGGCGATGCGTTCCCTGGGATCCTTTTGAACGGTACAGGCGAATTAATTAATGCAATTAGATCAAGAACGGATAGCTTTTATGGCATTTTAGTATACTTTGGTCTATTTTGTTTTATAAACTTGAATGTAATTAATTTTATAACCTGGAATTAGGTCTGCATACTTTAGAAAGGCATAGAGTAGGTATGTCCAGAGGGCAAAGACTAAAAGTAATACAGATGAACAAGTAGGATTTCTAAAAGTGTTTTCAATGTTATTTTTTACTAATATTATAAATGCGAAAGTTTAGATACACGGATGGATGGTTTGTTAGAATTTGTAACCTAAACGGCTGAACGGATCTCGATGAATAGTCTGAAAGAACACATAGGATACTCACGTTTTTATAATTCCACGCGGACGGAGTCGCGGGCGAAACCTAGTTCATTTATAAATTTGTATACATTCTTATTAAGTTCTCTTGAATTAATAGTGAACCAGTTAATAAATGGTCTGCCCTAAATATTATCACGCCCGTTATCTTATTTTAGACAATTTGTCTCAACCGCTGACCCAGTTATCTATCTTTAGTTACAACGAAATCTATCGACACATTGTTTATTACTTATGCGAGGTTCATTCTGTTTATAACAACTTATTCTATGCACACGCAAGTTTGGCTTTAAAGTAACGATGTCTTGTTATATTGGTCTAGGGTTAAAACTAGAATGGAAATTCCCGAACTTTCTAGAATATTACAAAGTATTACTGGTTTCGATGACCCATACATAGATTGAATTCATGCCTAGCTATTGTGCGCCCGAACAGGATTAGATAATTTAGATGGATGGATGTTTGTTAGAGTTTGTAGCCTAAATTGCTGAAAGGATCTCGACGAAATACATAGATGTAGAGGATAGTCTGGAAGAATACTGGCTACTTACTTTTGTTTTTTTAATTTCACGCGGATGCAGTCGCGGGCGAAAGCTGTTATTATTGGTTGGATTGTATTGTGTTGTTTAAATTATTTTCCGATATAGATAATTGAAAAGGATTTTAGCTTCAATATAAAATTGCTATGCAGTATCCTAATTCCGTCGCTTCCGACTCTGTGATAGTAAATTGAATTATTTTAGGTCAACTAATTATTTACTGGGCCATGTTGGGACGTCCGATATTAATTATATTACAACGAAGTTATAAACGTTTTGTATTTTTGTAGGTATTTTAGTTCTAAAATAAACATTAATGTTCCAACGTGACTTACTAGGAGTAATCTTAAGAACTTAAGTCTTAATTCTATTTACTTTACAACTTTCTTTCCTTATTCATTGTATTCTTGTTCTCTTGGCGATTTCATACTACCATTTTTATTGTACATTTGCGAAAACTAAGTATGTTTAGTTTTCTTGTTATCTATACTAATATAATAAAGCGTAAACACACACTTCTTTGTTGCCTAAGATGTCAGCAATTACAGCATATTTTTGAATAATTCTTTCTTTAATAAAAATCCCTACACTTACGTCACGCTTTAGGCTATATATTTTCACGCCGTTAAACTTACGGGTAAATATTTTGGATAAAATCCCTAATGTGGGAAAGAGACCATAAGTTGCTGCCAACATCAAGAAAGCAAGATTTCCAAGGTTTGTCATGTCATGTCATTTTGACATTTGCTATTGATAATTTGACAAACGTAAACAATAATCTCAAATTTCTATAATTAAAATAAAAATAAAACAATAGAAAGATATGAATTGCGTAAACTGAAAACAGAACAAAGATAGGTATTTTATAATCTAAAATTGGCAACAATATATACTATTGTCTTTCTCCCGGGACTCCATATATGTTGTATTAAAAAGAAAACAAAAGCAAGTAGCATATATGTTTTTCCAGACTATCCTCTACATCTAGGTATGCCAAATTTCATCGAGATCCGTTTAGCAGTTTAGACTACAAACTCTAACAAACATCTGAACTCTCGCATTTATAATGTTAGTAAGATTTGTTGTGAGTTAAAATACGCTTTCAATCAATCTAATGGTTATATTTAAATGCATATGACTAATAAGTAAAAGCACTTGAATATAAAACGATGCGGGCTGGGCGTTGTACTGATATTTTGTGTTTGCATTACCGATGATATGAATACTTTATCGGAAATTTTCGTGCCATGTACTCTGTGAATATAAAGCTACTAGCTGTTCCAGTGCGACTTCATCCGCATGAAATTATCAAAATTTAATTTTATTATTAACATTTGTCAAATTATCAATAGAAAATTTCAAGATAACATGACATGACAAACCTTGACAGTCTGGATTTCTTAATGTTGGCAGCAACTTGTGGTCTCTTTCCCACATTAGGTTTTTATCCAAAATATTTACCCTCTAAGTTTAATGTCGTGAAAATATATATCCTTAAGCATGACGTAAGTGTAGGGGTTTTTATTAAAAAAAGAATTATTCAAAATATGCTGTAATTGCTGATATCTTAGGCAACAAAGAAGTGTGTGTTTACGCTTTATTATAATAGTATAGATGTAGATATCCCCTCAAGTCATGTATCATACTTGTATAAGTTCTGACATGTGGTAATTTTTATTATACCTTTTGGTAACCAACTGGTCATTTAATTCCTCGCGGATTCTTTGAATATCTTAAGACCGGTTTTATTTTTAGCAGGGAAGGGTTGTATGAAAATGGTAAATGGTCAAAAGACGATTTATGATTTTAATTTTTTTTCTATATTACATTTTATGGTCACTTTCAATGCAACTTGCCTAGAGTTCACTTTCGTATTTAAATATTATCTTTGTCATTAACTTGACTAATTAAAATATGTTTTTAATGACAATATTATGATTTCTGTATATATTTAAACTAGCTATTGCTCGCGACTTCTTCCGCTTGAAATTTAAAAAATAACAAAAAATATAGCGTATGTTACTCAGTGATAACGTTGCTCTTAAATAGTGAAAAAAATTTGGAAATCGGCCCAGTAGTTTTTGACTTATTTCAATACATACAAAAATACAAATCTTTCCTCTTTATAATGTTAGTATAGATGTACTGTTTATTAAAGAAATACGGCGATCAATTTAAAACGTTTCCCTTAGTTCAATTGCTCCGTTTACAGCTTAAAATAATTTACTTTTAAAGTGTAAAATACTAGCTTTCGCCCGCGAATCCGTCCGCGTGGATTAAAAAAAAACAAAAGCGAGTAGCCTATGAGTTCTTTAAGACTATCCTCTACGTCTATGCCAAATTTCATCGAGATTCGTTCAGCCGTTGAGGCTACAAAATGTAATAAACATCCATCCATCTAATCTTTCGCAATTATAATATTAGTAAGATGTACATGGTGTTGTATGTTTTAAACGGTTTTAAAAAATAGTTTACTTTACGCCTGTAGCATATGTTGCCCAACCTGCATAAGAATGCAGTTTCAACGCACGTTTTTGTAAACTTGTAATTTATATTCTATGCAGATAACAGTCACCTGCAGAGCTATCTGAAGGTTGCTTTGTAAACGTGCTTTTTAAACATGTATTAATTTTTAAATAACTATTTAAAAAATGGAC